GTAGATCCCTGGTTAAAGGGGGCACAAAGAGCTCTGGAGACATTGGAAGAGAGATTGGGGACAAAGTCTTGGGGGAGAGAATGGAGAGAGTAGCCAGTGGGATCCCAGAGCTGACCCTTCCCCCCTCCAGCAACAGCGTGAGAGGACCAAATAACCCTGCACCCAGGAGGGACTCCACCCCACCCTGAGCTGTCTAAGAAAGCCTGCTGAGTGCAGAGAGAATAGATTAACAGCTGAAGGAGAAAGCCACAAACAGTAGATTCCTGGAAGTCTTGAACAGGCTGCAAAAGATCATATAGGGTCACCATCTGACATCATCAGAGGCAGATCCAGAAAGTAAAAACAGCGGTATCCAACCGTTCAAGTTCACACCACAAAGTCAGGAATACAAGACAGAACAACTTAAGAATCAGAAGCAAAAGAGAAGAGTCTCACAAAGTATGTGAAGACAAAGAAACAGCCCCAAGTCAAAGGAAAAGAAGGAATCCCCAGAATGAGAACTAAGTGAAATAGTGGCAAGGAAACTATCAGATATTGAATTCCATACAATTATTCTAAGGAAGCTTATTGAGCTCAGTGAATTCATAGAGAATTACAAATTAACTACAGAGAAACTATGGGAAACTTACTGCAAACTCTATCAGCATGAAAAATGACATATAAACTAAAAATAAGAGACAAGAGGAAATGAAGACTATAATTTCTGAATTGAAGAAAACAGTAGAAGAATTCAAAAGCAGTCTATGAGGATGGAATCAGTGAGCTGTAGAAGGTAGAAAAAGGCTCCCAGAAATAGCAAGAAAATGGAAAAAGACTCAAAAAGAATGAAGAGACATTTATGAAAATACAGGACACACTGAAACATAATAATATCCATATAATAGGAATTCCAGAAGGAGAAGAGGAACAAGGGATAGAGAACCTTTTTTTAAAAAGTAATGATGGAAAATTTCCCCAATTGGCCAAAAGAAAAAGCCATACAAGTCCAGGAAGCACAGAGGTTCCTGAAGAGGAACTCAATGAGGTCCACTCCAAGACACATCATCATGGAAATGACAAATGTCAAAGACAAACAGATAATCCTAAAGCAAGCAAGGAAGAAAGAGGTAGTAACATATAAGGGAGCCTCGATGTGGCTAGCAGCTGATTTCTTAACAGAAACACTGCAATCCAGAAGGGAGTGGCAATAAATATTCCAAGTCATGAGAAGCAAAGGCCTGCAACCAAGACTGGTCTACTCAGCAAGGCTCTCAATTAAAATGGAAGGCAAAATAAGGAGTTTCCCCAGACAAAGAAGGCTAAAAGAATACATCTCCACCAAACCAGCACTTCAAAATATGCTAAAAATACTGCTTTAAGATGAAGAAATAGAGTCTATGAATACCAACTTCCTTTCACATTTGCCAATACTTGATATTATCAACATTTTGTAATATGTATTAATCTGATTGTGACAATGATGTGTTCTTTTAATTGTTCATTTATTGTTTCTTGAAGGTAAACCTGTTTTTGCATTTTTCCTGCCTATTTCTATTATTTTCAAAAAGTTTTAAATGACTGTTTTGTATTCTATATCCATTTTTATTTAAACGTATGTAGATTTTTTCCCTAAACCCCCCCAAAACAAACCATTAATTCTTTTTTTAGATGTGTTTCAAATGTTTTCCTATTCTATTACTTGTCCTTTAACTTTTTTATATGTATATTACTGTGCAGTCTTAAATGTTTAATATAATCATATTGTTAATATTTTATAGCTTCCGGGTTTGAATATTTTACTTCAGGTTGAGAAAAATATTAGTTTGTATGTTCTTTTAAAACTCCTTAGATTCTATGTATTGATTTTAAACTCACCTGAATATTTTTTGTTTAATGTGTGAAACAGGGCTCTCTATTTGTTTTATCTCAGGTAATCGTGGTCCATGCATCTTATTTGCTGAATAAGCTTTATTTTACCCATTGATTTGAAATATAGGCTTAATCATATACTACATTGTTAGACAGATTTATGTTTATTTATATAATTCTCATTATATTTCATTGATCTACTTGATTATTTCTGTGCTGGTGTCATGTTGGTTTAATTGTTGAGACATTATAATGGCTTTAAGTTTCTTAATATTTATTATTAACTTTGACATTTAAACAAATAAATGAAATCAATCTGCATTAAAGAGAGAGAGAGAGAGAGAGAGAGAGAGAGAGAGAGAGAGAGATGGATCTCCTATGTTTTGCAACAACATGGGTGGAACTGTAGAATATTATGTTAAGTGAAATAAGCCAGTTGAGGAAAGACAAATACCATACGATTCCACCTTTATGTGGACTCTGTTGAACAAAATAAATTAACTAACAAAATAAACCACAGGCATGGAAACATGGGACAGACTGAAAATGACCAGAGGGGATGGGGAAAGAGGATACTAGTGGAAATAGGGAAAAGGAGCTAAACAAAGAACTCATATGAATGACCCATGTACAGTCTGTACACCAGAGTGGGAATTGATTGTGGGAGCGGGAGTGGAGATGGGATGGGTGGAGGGGGGTAAAGGGGAAAAATTGAGACAACTGTAATAAAATAAACATGATTTACAAAATTAAAAATGTTATTAAAATATTTTATAAAAATGCAAAGAAATAAGAAAAAAGAAAAGAAAGAAAATGCAGAGAGCAAAGTTTATTCACTTACCAAGGTGGGGAATGCATTTAAGTGTGCAGAGATATACCAGCAGGTTTATGTAAGAATTTTGAGGTTTTCTTAAATTATTAAAGAGTGTGTTGGCTTTATTTGTGTGATACTGGGCTGTTAAGGGTATTGTAACATAGGAGGTTGTGGTTCTTCTACATAAGCTGCAGTTTGCGCCAGTGTTCTCTTATGCTTGTGGCAGTGGGACAGTTAATCACATTCTGTTCTTGTTTACTAGTATTTTCTCAGTCCTGGGGAGGTAATCTCAAAACAATAAAATGACAGTCATGTGTATCAAGGTAATGTGCTCACTCAGCAAATGGTGCCACAAGCAAATGGTGACAGCTTTGTCCTTTCAGTATTATCAGTGATGTTGGGTTTAATAAGCAATGAAATAAGGAGGATTTCTAGCATAGATTTGCTCACAAAAATGGTACTTCAGCCCTGACATAAAACTCTCATTCCCAGGCTCCCTTGGCCCTGCTTCTGTCGATGGTCACTATGATCAGAAGGTGCAGGGCTGTCCTACACAACACATAAACTTAACTTCTACCTTCAGAAGTATGATGTGGAAATACATTTCACATTTGCAGTTTCATTGGTATAATGGATCTGTTTTTGGAAGAAATATTTAATTTTAACAATGTGTTAGTTAATAATGTTTTCAATTTTTTCTCTATTGCATATTATTAAAAAAAAAACTCCCCAGAAATTGGTCATCCTCCATTGTCCATGTTTGTTGGTTACAGCAGCTGTGAAGACTGGAATGGCTTTTGTTACTTGGAGTGGAGTGCTACTGGAAAATTACACACAAATATGGAAATGATTTTTGAACTGGATAATGGGAGGATGCTGGACTTATTTTGAGTCACATACAGAAACATCTCTGATTTTAATGAACAAAATAATATATAACATGTGGGTGCAAATTTTTTTTAATAAAGACCCAGAGGGAAGTGTATGGCATGATAAGGGCAGCTTCTATAATCTGAGAAAATACCAAAATAATTATAAACACTAATTGGTTAGAGACACTTTAAAAATTCTGGAGATAGTGGTGAAGAGTAATAAGGAACATGATATTGCATATGGTTGGAAATGGGGTTCCACATAACATTTACAGTTTCTTTATTATATAAGGCAGTGATGCCACATGTCTAGGACACTCAGATTTGGACATTTTTGATATATTTACCTACATGATGACACTATGGATCACCCAAGCTGCATAATTCATTGGGGCTCCATTGATGAAACATCTTGTCAGTAACAGGGTTGTGAGAACACCCCTGTCGGGAGGAATCCTCATGGTGGTGTGTCCATATGAGGGGTTATGGTCTCATGGGACAACTAGACCTATCTCATCTCATAATTTTATCATGATCACCATGATCACCATCATCATCATCTTCCTCTTTATCATCATTGGCTTAATTATAATCACATTTTTCATCTTCTATGCACACGGAGCTTGTCCACACAGAATGACTCTTTACAAAATCATTTGCTCATTTTTTTCAGAAACTAAGTGGAATGGGTAGTCAGACTGTATTTTATGTTGTACTTGACTGTTGACAACTGATGTCTCACTCCTGCCTCTGTTCCATTTGACCCAAGACTGGAATCTGATAAGAAAGGTTGAGTCTCCTTTTGGGATGCGATTGGGAGATTGAATACACACAAGCCCCTGTGAGCAGGATCCTTCTCCACTACCACCTCTTTTCCTGGCTCTATCAAAACATATCTGGCTTGTTGAGGGACCTTTCCTCTTCCTCCCAGAGATTTCAAGTGTGACTGTGATAAACACTCCATGTCCTCTTGATGTGTGTGTTTGTCATCAACCAGGACATAAACACAAAGTTCTTGCAGGTCTCTCTGCCCTCTGTCATGTCACCTAGGCTTTGTGCTGTGACCATGACACCAAGTAAGTTGCTGTCACCAACAGAGGTCTTTATCTTCTGGTGTTGGGATCATAGGCCTCTGGTGCTTGATGTCCTTCATGCACATGTCCTTCTGCTGGCCACATTGGACACTGAGCTGTGTGGAGCTGTTCTGTACCTCTGTGACTTTCAGTGTTCTGCTTATATTTCTCTGATATGAGTCACAGAATTGATGATTAATTGGAATTGGGCAAAAGAGTGCCTGAAAGAGATATGTGAGAATACCTAGTACACATAAGAATATTGTATTTTTAAGCAGCATACTTTTTTTGAACTCAGTGTCTTCACAAGTGAGTGCAGAATCAGGATTCCAGAGAAGCTCTCTCATGGAAACTATTATAAGAAAAAGAAACCACATAGGAAACCAGGCAAACTCAAAGTGCATCTGCTCCTGTGATGGTCCTTGTTTCCAGGAACACTGAGCTTCCCCTGGTGGTCACAGCCCCTGCTGAAGGAAGTTTATGTCTGGCCTTACCCTGAGTTGCCCTCACTGTGTCTCTAGCACAGTAATACAGGGCTGCGTCCTCAGCTCTCAGACTGTTCATTTGCAAGTAGACTGTGTTCTTGTTGTTGTCTCTGGAGATGGTGAATCGGCCTTTCACAGAGTTGGTGTAGTATATGTAAGCACTACCCCACCTGATGTATGAGACCCACTCCAGCCCCTTTCCTTGTGACTGGCGGACCCAGTTCATGCTATGGCCATCAAACTTGAATCCAGAGGCTGTACAAGAAAGTCTCAGAGACACCCCAGGCTGCAGCAGGCCTCCCCCAGACTCCACCAGCTGCACATCACACTGGACACTTGCAAACAAAAACACATCAGGTCAGGGAACCATCACCCCTCCACGGTTCCTCTCAGTCATATCCACTCACATACTCTGTGTCTTTTGCTCTCCATAAATTACCTCGTAAAATAGCAAGAAGGAAAACCCAGCTGAGCTCAAACTCCATGGTGCGTGTTGTGCCTTCTGTCTTGAACAGTGACTGGGAACACTGGGGTATCCTGAGCAGGTTCAGAGCCAGGCTGATTTTTATGAGCAAAGGGGCTCTATTTGCATGTGCTCCTGATATATAGGGAGCTCAGGGTTTGCAGGACTCCAGAGAGTGTCATGCCTCAGTGCAAGTGTGAGTGTGTTGTGGAGGATAGTGATGAAAACATTTCAATAACTAAAGAGAGAATCCTGAGCATGTCTGATGCATGTACAAGAGGCCATATTTGGTGACAGTGAGTCTAGCATCTGGGACTGTGCCCTACCCTCTTGTCCCCATGGTTTTCCTGAATCTGATCTGGGGTAGAACAGGGCATGTAAGGTAAGGTTCCAGAACCCCTTAGCTGTAATGAGAACATGAATGACCATCTGTATCTAGTGTATTACCTACACTGCAGGGATGTATGCACCTGTGTTCTAAGAGTCCTATCTACAGTGGGGCAGGAAATACATCACCCGTGATGTGGTCCTAGATCAGCAAACCTTCCAATTGCTGCTAAGATCCAGGTGGTGGCTGAACTTTCCAGTTGTGTGTGATTACAATGTGATTTTCACACAAGATGAATTTCCCAATGACTTCTATCTCAGAGCCTATTCCATCCTTTGCTGCACAGAACAGTGAAAAATGTGTGATGTCAGCTTGGCTGTAAAAATAACCCCATATAAAGACAGGCTTTCATGAACCTCATTTATTTTGCTTTAATTAATTGTGACATTTCTTTTACCTGAACGCCTACTTTTAAAATGTATGGAGGCTCTGCCACCCTGAATCTTGATGTTGAAAATGTATAATTCTGGCATTTATATTACTATTGTGTAATGAATCTTTTTTGTATCTTCAGGTTCAACTACTTTTTAAGTGCACATTTTGATTATATTTTATATTTTGTACTTTTCTGTGAATTTTTAAATTAAATATTCTGAATCTGAGGCTGTTTAATAATTTGGGTGGAAAGCAATGCATTGAGTTTTTCCATCTGTGCTTTCTGGGTCAGTCCTAGTTCACACTGGTATCTTCCAAGGTCATGCACACCCTGTTCTGTTGCTCTGTGTCCATCCCTCCTACAGTTCCACTCATTCTTGTTCATTGTGGGTGTTGGCATTTCTCTTCTAACTTCTAGAACACACACTTATATCTAAAAATATAAAATGTGTGATGAGGTGGATTTCTGGAAGTTCCTGAAAAGGACTTCATAGAGAATCTGCATCTTACAGGGTCATCGCTGTATTACCAGACTGATAAACCCTTGTCTAAGGGTCTAATCTTCTCCATCCTATGTTACAAATGGAGACACAAGCCAGGTCAGAGAACTTTCAGAGTCAGAGACATGGTGGATTTGGGTGTGAGTTCGAGCACATTCCATGCATCTATGCTTCAAGGTTACCCTGCACTTACCTGTCATCTATATTGATCCCCAGTGCCAGGCATGAATGACCACTGACCAAGGGCACTGTAGAGTGCAGAGTAGCACAGTCCACATAAATATAGGACTGTACTTGTTCCTGGGAGGGTCACCACTCAGGAGGCACCAACAGTCAATGTCACATCCCCAAGTAAGGGTGGTGGTCACTCTGTGTTGGTGAACTGAGTCCTATGAAAATAAGAGTAGAAGTAAATGTGATTTGTGTGAGTAAAAGAGAGCAGGGTTCATGTTCATTGTGTAACCTCTGGGGCTGTGCAACCTCTGGGGAGAGTGGGGCACACCAGTGAAGAGCAAGCATTTCAGTTCAGCAAGAATAATTCTATTCACTTAATTTACCTGATATGTAAATAACAATCTTTCATTTTATTCCTATTCACAAAAAAAATAAATAAATAAGTAATCTTGTTCTGAACTCCTCTGTGTCCCTTTGACAAGATGGGGTAAATGCACCATTCAATCTATTAGGCCAGTATGAATTCTGATACAATGGTTGAAATATATAGTTCACTAAACCTTACTTGCTTAGGGGAACCTGCTTCTCAATGCTTTAGGACCAGGCCCATTGCATCCTGTAGGAAAAGTGAAGGGGAGATGCTGTGCAGTTACTTGTATCATCTTACCTACATGCTCCGCCATGTCCCCATGACCAACTGGCAGAACAGTAGCAGAGTCTGTGTAGTGAAAATGCCCTTAGAACCCTTGTGGAGAGTGTGAGAATGTGCTCAAGTTTCTTGTACACCAGCCATCACGCCTTTATCTTCTCATGTGCATGCAACGCGTTTCAATATGTTGTATAAATTCCCATGAAACCAGGACTACAAAGGTGACAGAGAACACTGTAAGTCCATAGGATGAGGTGCCTTTTTCATCATTCTTAGAGGCTATTGTAAAAAAATAAAGGGTGTCCATTAATATGAGGAAATATATGTCAGCTGTCCATCAGAGTGCTGCCTCTGCATTGAATTCCTCTCACAGCCCTCATGCTGTGGCAACTGCCATGGGATCTTTGATGTGCAGATCAGAGCAAGAACCTGCTGCCTTGGGGACCCATTCACAGCCCCCTTGGTCTGGATGTAATTGACCTGCCATAGTGATCTTTGAATGTCATTTCCTAAGGATATTTTTCCCAAGGGCATGTTTCCCATGGCCAGATGTGATCATTCTTTTTTTTTTTTCTTTTTTAACTTTATTTTTATTGTGAACACTTACATATGTCCTCATTTCCCAGCCCCCACCCCCACTTTGTCCATCTGACTGGAAGACAGGACAGTCATTATTGGCACTTGACTCCTCTGTGAGTTCAAGAGGAATACATGGACCTTGAGTCCATCAAGGTCTTGCACACTCTTCTCATGTCCTTATACCACAGGGCCACAGGTGGTCACTTCATCAGGAGCACTGTGAAGTCCTCTTGCTGGATCCTGTCTCCTGGGAGTTTCTTCTAAGGGGATAAGACAGGCCTTACTCAATATGCTGCTTATACTTCAATGCATTTATGTGGGCTCAAGCTCTATCGTGTCATCTTTATAGTAAACAAATTTCTACTACCATCTTCCTGATTGATGGCTAGGAAACAGGACAACACCCATGTGTCCCTCACACCTGAGTACTTTGGCTGTTCACACCATTCAGGGAAAAGAGCCCTCCCATGGCCCTGATTGAGGTGATTCACTGTTAACTTATATCCCAGTATTTTCCATTATCACAGTATAGTGACTTTCCCCACAATCACCTTTCCATACACTTAAAAATGCCACCTGTAATCCAAGGAGCATCTTGCTGGTCATTTGGGAGATATTCAAGGACAAGAATCCATGTGACAACAGGAACTGACAGAACCCCGCATTCTCCAGGGTTAGCTATGGAGGAAGAGAGATCCCCTGATCAAGAACAGGAGGAAAACCCCTTGCATTCACCAGGTACATGGCCCAGCATAATTATCCCCATTCTGAAACTAGTGAACTAGGGCACAGCTGTCCTTAAGGAAGTGCTTGAATTTCTGGTCCAAGACTTAATGGATATTTAAGTTCAAAATTACTTTTGTTTCTTCAGTGATAGAGAACTTTCCATGCTCAATAGTCAGCTCATACCTGTCCTTACTGAACATTCCTGCACCCCTGCCTTGGGGAATTTCTGCTCTAAAATGCCAGCAGTAACACAAGTGAACACCTTCCTCAAATGCTCCTATCTGCATCAGTGCAAGTTGTAGATATATCTTCAGTCATGTCTGGGTGTGGATACTAGTGCCTAAGCACAGTAATCAAGGTGTCACAGTTGTGTATGCTGACAGCACTCATCATTACTCAGGCACTTTGTCAAAGGTGGTCTTCTCAAGGGTTGGGCATGGAGGAGCTTCGGTAGTGTTTTCCATGTGGGCTCCTCATCCTCCAAATCCAGCAGCCCAGCAGGAACTGAATATTTTCTTAGTTCCACAGGCAGATGAGAGCATCTGTTTTTCATTGGCTAGGGAATGTCACAGGTGGTTCCTAACCAGGAGGGCACTAAGAAAATTCTTATTTTTACAAGATCACAGATCTGTACTAAATTTATAAACCAAGTGTCAATTGTGTGCGCTCCCATGTCATTTAAGTCACAACATATTTGATGTTGTCATTATAATGTATCATCACACTTTGGGCCTGTGTCAAGCAGACATCCTTCTAATAAATTTTCTCAGTAATATGATGAATGAAATAAATATCTATCATTTCAGTAAGTGGGCCTCACAAACATTCTGACGTTAAAACAGGATACAGTTGGTTATTGTCCAAGATCAGTATGGAGAAAAGTTCTTTGCAAGATCAATCAGTGTTTGTCCTGGGCACCTCCTGGTGTCCTGAGTGATCCCTGCAGTCTAGTCCTCCTGTCTATCACAGGGAGGTTTGTATCTGGGCTGTTGCTGACTTCTCTCACTGTGTGTATCACACAGTAATACACAGCCAAATCCTTGGCTCTCAGGCTTCTCAGTTGCAGGTAGAGTGTGCACTTGGCATTGTCTCTGGACATGGTGAATCGGCCTATCACAGAGTGAACATAGCAATTCTGATTTCCATCACATCATATATGTGCCTCCCACTCCAGCCCCATCATAGACCTTGGCAGACACTGTGCACATGGGGTTACTGATGTTGAATCCAGAGGCCATGCAGGAGAGACTCAGAGACCCCCAGGCTGCACCAGGTCTCTACAAGACTCTATCAGCTGCACCTCACACTGGACACCTGCAAATAGAAAGGCATCAGGTCAGGAACAGGTCACCTGTCATTGTTCTTTCTCACTCATATCCATTTATATACTCAGAGTCTCCTGTCCTCCATAAATTACCTCTTAAAGTAACACCATGTAAAACCCAGCTGAGTTCAAATTCCATGGTGTGTGGTTTGTGTTTTTCCTGTTCAGGGATGGGGAACACCTAGGAATCCCATCCTGGGATCCTGTCCCAGAGCTTCAGGATTGGGGATGGGCTGCTTTTCATGAACAGAGGGGCCTAATGTGCATGCCCTCTGCTCTACAGGAAGCTCTGGATTTGGAGGATGACATGAAATATATGGTCCCAACGTGTGACTTGTCCAAGGGCTCATGTCTTTAACAGTTACTCCCCAGGCTTAGACAGCTTGGCTCAGTTGACTGGAGCATCATCATGAACCAAGCAATGGTGGGTATGATCCCGCATCTGGAGACATGATTCTTGGTCCAGGTGTGTACAATAATCAACCAGTCGATGTCAATCTGTCTCTCTCCCTCCACCTCTATCTCTCTGTCATTCTCTTCCCCTTTAAATGAAATGAAAAATACCTTATGGTGAATATTAAAAATAATATGAAAAATTGAAGATTACTTTCAACATTTTGTACTGTATCCTCCCCACTGAGCCAACTACTTTAGGTGTCGGGTGCATGACCAAGGAACATAATTTGTCATAAATGGTGAAGGAGTTAAAATGACAGATGCCCTTGAGAGTCACCAGTAATTCACCCATGAAAAAAAGTCAACCATCACGACCAGATCAAGAATGAAAAATGCAGGATATTGATCATCAGGAAACACACAGTTCCATCTGTCACTATATCCCCTATGATGACATGAGAATATGAAGAGGAAACAAAAAAAGAACTATAAAGCATGTAGGGCCAGTGTTGGAGGAGGGGGAGGATCTGTGTGGATCATAGATAGACAGAAGCCTGAGCTCCACAGAGAAACAGACAGTGCTCCTTGGTCACGTTCCTAGAGTGGACTTTGGTGCTGAGTGTGCAGCAGCCTCACTGCCTCATTTTGTTTTTATTCTATAGACTCTGGTAAAAACAGGTTTAAACAGTGGGAGTCAGAAGAAACACAGCCATGGCTATACCTGCTTCAGTGAAAGTGTAGGTAGAGATTGAGAAGTAACTATGTTTAAATTATAGAAATTTCATTAGGGAAAACCTTGATACCCGTTACAATACAAAGTAACAGAAATTTAATGAAATCATAATTGATAGGAAGAGAATCAATTTTCTTCATCCATTGATTACAAAATGAGTAAATCATTAAAACACCCTCTCCATACTGAGATTGCTGGATCTGACATAAGGTAAAACTGGTCAGCCTTGGCAGTTCTGCCTTATTTCCACCATCAGCATCTGTGGATATGTGGACATGTGATGTAGTTCTAATCAGGAATACAAGAGACAGGTTCATCCTTGGTTTATCAGAAGTAAACTTCACAAGCTTCCACTCCTAACACTTTCATCAATTTTCATGTCAGCACGTGAACATTGGGGATGCTTTTTCCACATGAGATGGGTGTCATCTGGGAAAGAAGTCACATGGTATTTAGATCAGTGTGCAGATCTTGGAAGGGTTATCCAAGGTACATGGGCCATGGAATTAAGCAAGCCTGGCCAGAACACTTCCAGGATTCGTGTTCCTTATGCTGTGATTTTTCTCCTTGTGTAGCAAGTTTGGGTTGTTTTTGGTTTCTTCCCTCAGAATGGTCCTCACATAGTAATCTAGCCATTGATATAAAAAAAGAAATGATTTGAAAAGTAACCCATCAATTTTACTCAGTAATCTAAAATTAAATCTTTAGCCATGGAAAAATGAAATATTACTATTTGGGACTTGGATGGACCTGGAGGTTGTTATGCTAAGTAAAGTAAGTCAGATGGAGTAACATCCATTTCACGTGATAAAACTTGTACATGGAATCGAATGAAGAAAAAAACAAAGAGAATAGAAAAACACTCACGGTCTCAGAGAATGGAGAAATGGTTTCAGGTGAGAGGGCAGTTGGGAGCTTGGGTGAAAAAGGAAAGGAGATAAATAAGTACAAATGAACAGGCAATAAATTAAACAATATGAAATATCTCTATGGGGTGTGGGGTGGGAACTGGAGATACTGGGCTATCAAATCACACATTTTGTGTCTGACTACTCTGCTGTAGGTAAGAAGCTTATATAAAATAATACAGAATAGCAATTGGAATTAGAAAATAAAAAAGAGAATTCACTCCAAGTCCAGGTTATATTTTGTAATAAAATATTTCATTTATTCATTCCCAGAGAGAGGGGAAGGTCGGTAGAAAGAGAGGGAAACATCAATGTGTGGCTGTCACTGACCCCCAACCGAGGACCCGGATTGCAACCAAGGCATGTGCCCCAACCGGGAACTGAACTCTTAATGCTTTGGGTCATAGGACAGCAATCAATCCACTGCGCCACACATGCCAGAGCCCAGGTTACATATTTAAGCTTATTTTATTGATTAGTCTATTACAGTTGTCCCAATATTGTCCTCCCTTTCTCCCCCATCTGTCCTGCACCCCTACCCTGCAGCATTTCACCCACTTAGTTTATGTCTGTGGGTTGTACCTGTAAGTTCTTTAGCTTCTCTATTTCCTATAATATTCTTAACCTACACTTTATTTTGTGCATACCAATTTTGCTTCTATTTCCCAATGTATTTTCCCTCAAATATCCCCCTCCACCTCCCTTAGCCACCTTTTCCTATAAAAATTCATTTGAGAAATCCAGGGTGAGGGGAGCAGGTGGAAAAGGGTGTGTGAGCCTGAACTCAGGGGAACTCTGCTGACCTGAATATCCTGGTAGTTTGTCTATGAATAGTGATATACACAGTATAACAGGATGGAAAGTGGGAAGTTTAAGGTTCTTCAGGGCAGGTTTCAAATAAAACCTTTCAGGAGATGTCCTGAAATGGCTGTGGTGGTGATACTACACCCTAGCTCAGGGTCTGAGCCACACAAGCATATGACCCAGGTCTGGACCAACTTCCTGAGACAAGGCCCACTTGACAGTCATTCCTAGCAGGTTTGAGGTTGTGGCAGTCTCAATCCAGCTCCTTTCTTGTCCACCAGCAAATCTCCACAAGAGCACCTGGGGTCTGGAGAATATCACTTTGGTGGTCATCTGAGGGACATGAACTCTCCTCAGTGTGAGATTAGACCTGCAGGAACAGGCCCTCAGCTCATAGATAGGTGGCATTTGTCACCTGGCTTGCTGTCCATATTCATAAATCCTAGTGCCTATCATGAGACACACCAACGGCTTTTAAATCTCAGTTAGGGTCCCCTTCATGACTGTTGTCAGTTGAGCTGCAGAGAGAATTTTGAGCACATGGGACAAACTCACCACCTACAGAGGATGCTCTCTGCTCAGATACCAGACCCCCTTAATACAGTTCCTCAGAGTGGCCTTGCTGAGATCTGTGGTCACTGAGTTACAGGACTGTCCCTGAGATCATATGAATAAGTAAAAGTGGAGAGGACAGCACAGCTCTCTCCTCCTCACACTCACATGGAAGACATGGTCTCAGTTGCTGTGCATGTGTTTGAAAAGTAGATTTTGTATTGCAGTGAAAAATTGATACGCAAAATTCATAAAAGGATACCAGCTCTGATACTTTCAACACTGCTATTATCCACTTTGAGGAAGGAAGCTCATCTGTGATACCTCACCTCTGATTAGATGAGGAACACCTGTACCAGGTCTGACAGGTCACACTTGGAAGAGATCTGCATCATCACCTCAGTGTCCTCACCACTGCACTGAGTGACTTAGAATCATTTGTTTTAAATTCAAACAACCTTTTGCTCCACTTCTGTGCATTAACAAATCATTGAATGACAAATAATGTAACTTGGGTATTGAATAATATTTGTTGGATGGATTAAGCAATGGATTAAGTAATAAGTGTTATATACCTGGATGTAAGTTATTGAAGAGTCACCAGAAGTTGGAGGATGCATATCAAAAATAAAAATCTGAGCCTTTTGATTAGAACCTGAAAATGTGGGCTGGCCTGTTACAGGCCAGCAGAGGAGAAGAAACAGACTCTAGCATCCAGAACCAGGTGAGTCCCACTTTCATCAGGTGGACTCTAACTCCTTGTTTTCAACAAATGTACACTGGTCAGTCTGTCTGTAGGGAGAATATAAGCCTGGATGGAAACTGATACACATTTTTCTCATCCAGAAACAAGTATAACAAGTGTGCATACGTTTATATGAGTTTAGAGTGGTTATTCAGATGTGCTAATACCCAGGAGAGGAAAAGTGAAGTCTACGGGTAAAAAGCAGGTGTGACATTTTGGGTATCAATAACTAAAGTGGTGGTACAGTAGATCTTGTTACACTGAGAGTGGGTAGATGCGATAGAAAAAGTCAAAAATAGTCACATAAGAAAATACAGGGAAATATATAATTGAGATGCTGTCAAAGCTTTCCATATGGATACACCAGGGGGAAGTAACCCTTAATACAAGGGGAAGAAAAGTGCAAGAGGCTCATGTTGAAGAGGAAAGAAGTTCCATCAGACCCTGTGTCTCTTACACAGTGATCAGCATAAGAACAGAGTGTGACCCAAAGGCAGGTGGATCCAGGAGGAGGTGGAGAGCCTGTGTGGGTCACTGAGAGGGAGAAGCATGGCCTCAGCAGAGCAGCTAACAGTGCTCCTTAGTCATGATACTTTAATGGAGTTTGATGTCAAATGTGCAGCAGTTTCACTGCTCCATTTTTGTGTTTGTTTGTTTGTTTATTTATTTATTTATTTATTTATTTATTTATTTATTTTTAAGTATGTTTGGCTCTGCCTCCCCCCCACCACTTTCCCTTGCCCCCTCCCTCATTCCTTCCCTCAGCCTTCCCCTTTGGTTTTGTCCATGAGTCCTTGCTATATGTTCCTTGACTTTCCCCTTCACTTCCCTTTCCCTCACACCCACTCCCTCCCTCCCTCTTGTCTCTGTTGATTTCTTTTCCTTTCAGTGTTGCTGGTCATATTTTCATTGCATCTGTATTGTTGGTTAGGTTCTGCTTATAGGTGAGATCATATGGTATTTGTCTTTCGCCCTCTGGCTTATTTCGCTTAGCATAATGCTCTCCAGTTCTATCCATGCTGTCACGAAGTTTAGTAGTTCTTTTTTTTCTTTTTGCTGCGTAGTATTCCATTGTGTAAATGTACCATAATTTTTTGATCCAATCATCTACTGATGGGCATTTCGGTTGCTTCCAACACTTGGCTATTGTAAATTGTGCTGCTATGAACATTGGGGTGCATAGGTTCTTTTGTATTGGCGTTTTGGGATTCTTAGGGTATAGTCCCAGCAGGGGAATCACTGGATCAAGAGGCAGTTCCATTTTCAGCTTTTTGAGGAAATTCCACACTGCTTTCCACAGTGGTTGCACCAGTCTGCATTCCCACCAGCAGTATACTAGGGTTCCCTTTTCTCCACAGCCTCCCCAGCACCTGTTGTTTGTTGATCTGTTTCTGATGGCCATTCTGACCGGTGTGAGGTGGTACCTCATGGTGGTTTTGATCTGCATTTCTCTGATGGCTACTGATGCTGAGCATCCTTTCCAATGCCTCTGAGCCCTCTGTATCTCCTCCTTGGAAAAGCGTCTGCCCAGGTCCTTTGCCCATTTTCTGATTGGATCATTTGTCTTCTTGGAGTGGAGTCGAGTGAGTTCTTTATATATCTTGGAGATCAAACCTCTATCTAATATATCATCAGCGAATATATTTTTCCATACGGTTGGCTCCCTTTTCATTTTGCTGATGTTTTATTTTGCCATGCAGAAGCTTCTTATTTTGATGAGGTCCCACTTGTTTATTCTTTCCTTTATGTCCCTTGCTTTAGGAGACACATCAGTCTGTGGCAAAACCAGGTTCAAACGTTGTGGGCACAGAAGAACTTTAGTCGTGGCTAGGTCTTTTTAGATGAAGATTTACATTGAGATTGGGGCAGAACTATATTTAAGGTACAAAATGTCATTATGAAAAATCTTGATGCAATCACTAATAAAAATTACAGAATATATAGATTAAATACAGACATAGAGATAAACATGAAGAGAAATTTTTTATCAATTGATGACACAGGATGAATAAATCATTCAAATACACCCCCCCCCTTATTTGAGCTGGTGGATGTAATTTTATATGAGGCAATTCATCCTTGGAGGTTCAGTCTTAGGTTCACCACTCAAACCTTTGTCTATGTGGATTTGTGAAGTAGCTCTAATCAAGGAGCAGGAGAGGGAGTGTGCAAGGTGTCCCTGGTTTGTGAATAGTTAATTTCAGAAGGACTATCACCTGTCTCTCACAATCCCTATTCATGTCACATGGCATCATTTGTATTGTTATCACTATGTCCATACATACTGGACATCCACTGAACCTGAATGGGATGCATTGAATGTCTCAATATTTAAGTGAGAAAAAGATCTCCATTCAAGGGGATGAATTAACAAGGGCAAGGAAAGAGCCACATCTGAGCTCACAGATTCAGGAGTACATTTCTGTGATATGGTTGTCAGAGCGAATCCTCCTAGTTCTGTGTGTGCTATGGTGTAATGAGCTCCCTGGTATCAAGAGGCTCCCTTGCAGCCCCACTCTTTGCCTGTTCAGGGCATTTTGTGTCTTGGTTCACAGTTATATCCTTTTTTTTTTTTTTTTTTTTTTTTTTTTGGTGGCAGGGCTCTCACAATGTAACACATGACCATATATCTTCTGGTCAGAGAGCTCAGTTGTACAGAGTGTTAGTTCTGGAGTGTGATTCAGAAGGTGAAGGTGTGGATCTAGAGGCATGGGCTGTAAAATAATTTCTATTTGCTATATATGCAACCCATCCATGGCAGCATTTTTGTGGAGCCTGGTGGGTCCTGTGCACAGTACTACTGTTAAAGAGACAGTGAGGGTGAGGGAGAGTGTGAGGACTTCAGTAGTCCTGACCTCATTCGAAACTCAAAACTAATCACTTCAGAAATGAATCACCTTTTTACACAGAGAAAAGAATGGAAATGAAAATAGTAAGCAGTGATTGTGTATGTGTCCAATCCAGTATACTTTATATGTTGGAATTATTATGGCAGTGGATGAATTAACCTGTTTTCCCCATCTAGCAGTGGTTAGGGTGACCAGGGTACAAGCAGTGAAAAACATTCACAAAAATAAAAAAAAAAATGCAGAATGCAAATTTTATTCACTTTCCAAGGGAGGGAAAGGTTTAAGTGTGCAAAGATATGCCAACAGTGAGATGTAGGAGCCTTGAGTTTTTCTTAAACTATTACCAAGTGGTTTGGCTTTATTTGTGTGCACACTGGGCTGTTAGGGTTATTGCAACAAAGGGAGTTTTGGTTATTTTGCATGAGATGCAGTTTGCTCCAGTGTTATATTTTGTATGTGGTTGTGGGTCTGTCAGTCATATTCTATTTTTGTTTTCCAGTAATGTCCCAGTCCTGGGGAGGTAAGTTCAGAAGAGTAAAATGGCAGTTATGTGTAATGAAGTCATGAGCTCACTCATCAAATGGTGCCAGTTTTGACCTTTCAGTATTATCAGTCATGGTGATTTCATAAGGAAGGAAATGAGGAGAATTTCTAGCACAGACATACTCACAAGAAAGGGTACTCTCGCCCTGACAGAGAACCCTCATTCCCAGCCTCAATGGGCCCTGCAGCTGGTGATGGTCACTATGGTTAGAGTGCACAGGGCTCTCCCACACAACATGTAAACTTTTAATTTCTTTCTTCAGATGTATGATGTGGAAATATACTGTTTCTCACATTTGTCTTTTCATTGTTGTAATGGGCCTTTTGGGGGGACAGATTTATTTAATTTGAACAATGTTTAAGTTATCAATATTTTAAAAGTGTTCTCTATTGCATGTTGTTCCAATGCACTCCCCAGAACTTGGTCCGCCTCCATTGTCCATCTTTGTTGGTTACAACGGCCATAGAGGCTAGTATGGGTTTGGATATCAGTGATGGAGTACTACTGGAAAAATCACTCACAAATCTGGAAGTGATTTTGGAACTGGATAAGGGGAGGACGCTGGACTTATTTTGAGTCACATACAGAAACATTACTGATTTTCATTAACAGAATGTTACTCAGCATATGGGCTCAAAATCTTTTTAAATGAAGACCCAGATGGAAGTGCAGGACATGATAGAGACAGCTTATATTATCTTAGAAAATTCCTAAATAATTATAAACACAAGTTGGTTAGAGAGAGATACGTTAAAGACTCTGAAGTTAGAGATGAAAAGAAATACGGAACATGGAATTACGTATGGTTGGAAATGGGATTGCTTGTTACCCACATATATAGTTTCACAATGTCTCTGTTATATAAGATAGTAATGTCACAGGTCTGGGGGACTCATATTTGGGCATTTTTGGTTTTTACACACATGGTTACACTATGGGTCACCCAAGCTTCTTTAATAATGGGAAATTTATTCTATTTAGGAAACCTCTCACCACTTACAGGCAAAAGAGGACACCCCTGTCGGGAGAAGCAATCATGATCTTGTGTCTGTATGAGGCGCTATAGTCTCATGAGACAAATAGACCTATCTCAGCCCATCATCACCATCATCATCATCATCATCATCATCACCATTGTCATCGTCATCTTCATCATCATATTTGTCTTTATCATCATATAATTTCTTCTAATTTTACTTTTTTTTTTTTTTTTTTTTTTTTTACTTTCTATGCATACGGTGGTTATCCACACAGAATGACTCTTTATCCCATTCTTTGCTCATTTTTATCTGGTAGTTAAGGTGTATGGGTAGACAGACTCTATTTTATTTTATATTTGACTGCTGACAACTGAGGTCTCATTCCTGTCTCTGCTCCATCTGCCCCAAACAGGAAGTTTTATGAAAATAAGGATGGGTCTCCTCTTTAGATGTCATTACGAGATTGAATTCAGAGAAGCCCCTGTGAACAGAAATCTTCTCTTCCTCCATCTTCTTTCCTGGCTCTATCAAAATATGTCTGATTTGCTGAGGGGACTTTTCTTTTCCTACCAGAGATTTCAACTCTGTGTGTGCTCAACATTCTGTGTCCTCTTGTTATGTGTTTGTCATCAACGTGGACATCCACATAATGTTCTCATGCTGCCCTCTGCCATGTCACCTAGGTCAGTGCTGTGACCGTGAGGTCAAGTCAATACCTGTCACGCCAGGGGTATTTATCTTCTGGTTTTGGGATCATAGGCTTCTGGTGCCTGATGTCCAGCTTGCACATGTCCTCCTGCTGGCTGCATTTGACACTGAGCTGTGTGGGGCTGTTTCATACTACTGAGGCCTTCAGTGTTCTGGGTAGATTCCTCTGATGTGGGTGACAAAATTTGATGACTCATTGAGACTGGACACAGGAGCATGTGAAAGAGAGATGTGAGAATATTTTGTACACATGAGAACACTGTCTTTGCTGTATACATTTTTTTTTTTTTTTTACTCAGTGACTTCACAGGTGTGTGAATAATCAGGAAGCCAGAGAGGTTCCCTGAATAAAACAGTTTTAAAAAGGAAATCACATAGGAAACCATAAGAACCACGAAGCACAACTGCTCCTGTGATAGTCCTTGTGTGTCGAGGAACCCTAGAGTGTCCTGGTGATCACAGCTCCTGCTGAAGGGAGGTTTGTGTCTGGGCTCACACTGACTTCTCATCACTGTGTGTCTAGCACAGTAATAAACAGCCGTGTCCTCAGCTCTCAGGCTGTTCGTTTGCAGGTAGAGTGTGTTCTTGCTGTTGTCTCTGGAGGTGGTGAATCGGCCCTCCACAGAGTTGGTGTAATATATGCTACTACTATCCCAATTAATGTATGAGACCCACTCCAGCCTCTTCCCTGGCACCTGGCGGACCCAGTGCATGCTATAGTCACCAAAATTGAAACCACTGGCTCTACAGGAGAGTCTTAGAGACCTCCCAGGCTGCACCTGGCCTCCACCAGACTCCACCAGTTGCACATCACACTGGACACCTGTAAACGCAAACACATTTGGTCAGGAAAATGTCACTGCTCCATGATTCTTCTCAGTCATATCCACTCACATTCTCGGAGTCTTTTGTTCTCCATCAATTACCTCTTAAAATAGCAAGAAGGAAAACCCAGCTGAGCCCAAACTCCATGGTGAGTGGTCTGCGTTCTGTCCTGACCAGGAACTGGGAACACCTAAGAATGCTTAGTAGGGTTGGCTCTGGGCTGCTTTTAATGAGCAAAGGGTCCCTATTTGCATGTTCTCCTACTATATAGAGAGCTGTGTGTTTGGAGACCTGTAGAGAGCACCATCCCTCAGTGGAGGACTGAGTGTTTTGGGGATGCTGGTCATAATAGAATTTCAATAGTTAAGTAGAGAATCCTGAGCAGTTCTGAGTTGTTTACAAGAGGCCATATCTGGAGACAATGAATCTAACATCTCAGCCTCTGTCCTCCCCACAGTGCCCTACAGCTCTCCTGAATCTGAACCAGGGCAAAGCAGGACATGCCCAGTAAGGTTGGAGGACCACTTTACTGTAATGTTAGCATGAATGAGTGTCTAGCTCTAGTGTTATCTACACTGCAGGGATGCATACACCTGTGTTCTCAGAGTCCTAACTACGGTAGAGAAGGAAATGCATCACTGCTGATGAGGTACTAACTCAACAAAGGTGACTCAGATTCACCTAAAAATGTCACACAGAACTGCTGCTAACATTTTTGTTGGGCCCAAGAACACTATTATGGATCCACATAGTTCCTGTTCTGTTGCCTGTGTTATCAGAGGCCTGAGACAATCTTAGACTCTGATATAAATGGACATCACAAAGTGAATGTTAGAAGTTCAGGTATGACTCTCATTGTTGCAGCTGGTCTGATGGTCAGACTAGGCATTCATCATTTTCCCCCACACTTGCTCCCTCAGAATCCTCTAAGACCATCCACACTGGGGAGCAAGTTGATGAAGGCGGGCTGTTTGTTGTGAAGACCCCCGCCCAGAGCACACAGGGCCTGTGAACCTTGATCACCTGACTTCTATCAGGCATTTGGATTATGTAAATTATCATCCTATGATTGGAGGCAATTGGTGAAAGGACGAGGCCCTCCTCCAGCGGACCACTCTCTGTCCCTGGTGGGAGCTACAATGCTATCCACAGAGGGGAATAAAGTGCAAAACCACCACCTGCACAGAAACCTTTTTTTCTACAACTCTCTCCAGTCCAGAGCTGTGAGGACTCCCTTGGATGAGGCAGTAGTCACAACTTTCATTTAATTGGTACCTAAATGGGTCAACTTTGGACATTTTTTTTTTCTGAGAACCGGAACCTCTAATCCATTTCAGGTTTTGACTGTTGCCACTGTCACCTTCTGAAATAAAAATTTTAAAATAAAAAAAGTCCTCTTAGGATGTCTTCACTGCTATGGTTGTGGGAGTGGGGGCTGTGCTGCTTAACACCTTGTGCCAGGCCATGTGCTGTAGTTCCCAGTTATTGTAATTTTAATAATGCTAAGGCCATGAAGAGTGTCCTGGAGGGGAATTGTGGTCTACACCATGGACTTAATTGGATCTTCTAGTGTCTATTGGAAAATATTGCCATGTGTCATCTGGTCCAAACACATGCAGGACTAAGTCCAGAGCCTGGACTCTGCCCACTAGAGCTCTACTATCTTGTCTGCTCCCAGGATAACTAAGCGACATGGGATGACTGTGTCTCTTATTCTTGTTCCTGTTGTGCACCTTTTATTCCTCAAAACTACCAGGTTCACTGGCCATAGGAGAACTCACATAGGACTTTCAGTCAGGGAACGAGATATCAGTACCTTGGAAACTTCTTGTAACAGTAGCTACCCAATAACAAAATCACAAGCATGTTTAAATTGGATCCACTATGGTAAGGAGTAATTTCTTTCTCTCCAGGGTTAAGCCTGAATGTGTTGACTCACTTGCAATATCATGTGGGTAGCCCACAGAATGGGTCCACAGAGACGTGAGGGATATGTTCTCTATTGCATGTCAGCTCAAGTGACCAGAGGGAGGAAGCAGTGATATGAACAGTGTCAGCCTGAGAAACACTCGAGCAGTACTGAAAGAAGGACTTCAGATCCCTTAAATCTCATCTCCCCTGACCTTTGACCTAGCAGAACAGCCTTTATGTGCTTGGGGCTGTAAGCCCACTCTATTATTAATGAAATTGGAATCAGCTTTAAAGTTTTAATTGCTTCAGAATATCACCGGGTTTAGTCGTAAAGTTCATTAGTTATTATTTTCCATAAGATGGCTGTAATAGTTCTTCGTTGTTTTACTTCATTCAAAACAATGTTGTAAGATTGCATTATGGCAGCTGTCATATCAGTGTACATTTAAAAAACTTATCAACATTGGTGATTTTTTTATGTAGCCATTTTAATTTTGATGATTGAAGAATAGAAGCAACATTTTTGGCATATGCTTTATTATTTCAATAAAGGTGAGAATGCAATTGAAAGGTAAAAAAAAAGACTTGTGCACTGTAAAGACAAGATACTGTGAGTAATAAAGTGTGTCGAAAGTTGTTTGCTACTTTTATGCTGGATAATTGTCACTGGATGATCCATCACTGCAAGATGTCCCATTGTTGAGTACAATAGTTGATGTCAATAGTGATCAGATCAAGATATTGAGAACAATCAATGTTATACCACATGGAGGGCAACCATTATAATACAAAATCCAAACCAAACTTTGGAAAGCATTTGCACCAGCTTAGTTATTTAATTGCTATAAAGTTTGGGTTCTACATAAGTAAAACAATGAAACAACAACAACAAAAATCCTCTATGATATTTTCACATGCAATTGTCTATGCATTATATAAGCATATTGAAACCATTTATTTATTATTAAAACAGCATGGGCAATGAAAGTGGACACTTCGCAACAATGTAGAATATAAGAGACCATGGATCATGCAAAATTAACCACCCCCTGCCACACCAAGGCCAGTCTTCATCCAAAGAAGGTGATTGTGTGCACACGGTGGGATTGGAAAGGACTCAAGTATTAGAGGCTCCTTCTGGGAAGCAAACGATTAGTTCAAACAAATTGTCTCCCAATGAGACTGACTGAACACATTGCTTGATGAAAAACATCCAGATTCCTCAAAAGAAAACAGAGTCTTTTTTATAATAATGAAAGACTCCATGTTATTCTGATGACTAGGGACATATGGTTACAGCCTGACAAGGAAGTTCTCATTTATTTGCTGTGTTCAGCAGACGTTGCACCTTTTGGTTTCCTATCATTTCATTTTTTACAAAATTATCTTAGGAAGATAAATTAAATTCCCTAGAGAACAGAAAAGGGTGCCTGGAATAGTTCTTAGCTTAAAAAGAAGATTACAAATGTTGTGAAGATAGAATTATGAATTTGCTTGATAGATGACAGGAGTCATTTAAGAAAAAAAAAGAATATATTGCTCAATGAAGTTATTGGTGCAAAAATAAAAAGTATCTTACTAATTCTTTAAAACTGAATGAAATTTTTGGCCCACCAAATAGCTTTAGCTTCTAGAAAATGTAACATTAAATGTAGTCAAAATGGAAGGACTGCATAAAGAGACTTATAAAGATAGAGAGCAAAGTTTTCTCAGGAAGCTAATGGAAATCACTATCTACAGATCTTGAAAGCTGTCTGTGAAGACAAAAGCTGTGAGAAAACTATGGAGAGTGAACCTCATGGCAAAGACAGAACTACCTCTGGTTCACTTGAGATTTGCTTTTTTATGGTTGATTTTTAATGGAACCAGCAACTGGCCTGCTTGTGTTAGAGTCTGAGCATATTTATCAAGACACAGAATCATCTTTTCCACATGTGGACTACTTATACTCATTTCAAACACATATCCCCTTTCTTCAGTATTGTAAGTGCAACTCTTAGCTCATGACATTTGTTATGCATCAATATTCCCATGAGTATTTTGAAACATGGGTTCATCTATCGATCCTCCCATAGATCTATTCCATGATGCTGAGATCAAAGACATTGACTATGTATCTGGGTTGTGGTCACTGGAGACCCTGGGGGGATCAGATGTGGCCAGCTCTCCTGCCTGCTTACAGACTGTCATCTGTTGAAGCCATAAACGAGCTTGCCCTTCATGGTGCCCTGCAGCCAGTCCAACCTCCTGGTCTTCACAAAATAAAATGTATTGCTGTTAACGTTGCCCTGGTGTCAGCATCTTTCTAGACTCACGCATGACACAGGTATGACATGCACCATGACCTCATACCTGTACCATAAAAACTGATACAATTACACCTGTTGGGGATTTAAAAATAGAACACACACTTGGAGAATATATATTCAAATTGAATAATGGTAAAAATATTAGTGTTATGAAATCAACATAAATCTACAAAAAGGCAAGAAAACAAACAAACAAAAAAAACCCTAAACAATCTTAAGCCAGTCATTGGAAGAGACACCTACTCAAATGATGAAGCCACTTGGAAAGCAGTGTGGTGTTCCCCAAACCATGAAAACAAAAACTCCCATGACCAGCAACCAAGCATCCAGTGCTCTCCTCCAATAGAATGCAATCTGTATTTGGAATAGAGAGTCCCCTGCTCCTTGCCACTTTACTCACCATGGCCAAGGCATGGGAATCATATGAATGCCCATCAGGGGATGAATGGATGAAGTGTGGTTTATATCTTCAAAATACAATCTTACTACTCTGCCTTAAAACAGAAGGAATCCTGCCATAAACCACAACTTGGGTGACAGAGGAGGATGACAGACCATGTGCACCAAGTCATCAGGAAAAAAACAAGCATTACATGAACCAATGTCGGTGAGGTCTCTGAGTCAGCACAACTCATGTGTACAAGTAGAAAGGTGATGCTTGCAGAGTGGGAGGCAGAATTTGGAAATCAGGTGTTCACTGGCTGGCAGTATACACCATGATACAGAGTCAGGACTGCAGGTCTGCTGTAGAGTATGGGCCTGGCATGAGTCACACTGTGTTGCACACTCAGGGATTTGTGGTGGACACACCACATGTGAAGCGTTCTTATTGTGATAAAGTGACAGAAGAGGAGTCATGTTAAATAGGGTGGGAACAGCCATTCTAGAAAATCCACTTGGCACAATTTAATTCTCCAACATGTGAATGGTGTGGACTCAGCAAACTCATCT